GGGTCTAGTCTCCCAGCAGTCAACCAGCAACCCCAGCATGGCGGCAGTGTAAGTGCTGGCACTTCCGCTGACAGCAGAGCCAATTTCAGTGGGGGCACCACTGCTCTCAGGGGGGGCATGTGCCCCTCCTATGGATCACTTATGATGGAAATTATACTTGTAACTGCATTGATTTGTGTCTTCGGGGTCTAAGTTTACATCAGAAGTATCTTTGGAGCATTAGACTGGGTATGTTTGGTTGCATGATCCCAGTTAGTTGCTGATGTTGCTGTTTCCTGTGTAATGGCTCAGTCCTGAAAGTGCCCAGAGCCCAAGTGACTCTGAGGTTCTTCGTGCCTTGCTGAACCACCTTGGATAGACACGGGTGTATTTTATTTATTTTTCTGTAGCTGCAGCAGAAAAAATGATGTTCTGAAGTTTGGGAGTTGTCCTTCAGGCCAAAGCCCCATGCAGTGTGATGGTTGCTAGGTCATGATATGGTGTGTTTCTAGTCTGGCTCCTTCTTCCATGGCACAGCCTTCTCTGAGGACTAAAATAAATAATACGCATGTATTTCACAGGAGCCACCAAGGTAAGTGGCAGTAACTTAACTTCCTGCTGCTGCGCTCAGCAGAGAGGCCAAGATTGAATGGAAGGTGTGACTGACGGTGATTTCAGATGACAAGGGCTGAAAAGATTAACAGTGGACAAACAGAGAAAAAGGGAGAGTGCACTAACCCAGCAGTTTCAAACCCATTTGATGGGCATAGTTTTATAAGTCTTCTCCATTGTGCTTATCTCTCTTTCCACTACTTGGGATGACAGCTGTTTTATCTTGTGGTTCCCTATGGACCAGGTCCAGGATAATTGCTGTCCTTCAGTACCATAGGGCCAGTGCCTCAGGCATGCATTCCAGTTCAAACTTGACATAGTGCCTGACTGAAAGTGCCCCAACATGGGTAGGAGGCACCCAGAAGATGAAACTCATCGTGATACTGCCTAAATATTAGTAGTAGGAATAACAGAGGTAGGAAAAATGTAAATGCGCATGTAATAAACCCAATCATAACACTCTTTTTCATTGTTATTGTGACACTTGAGTTGCCAGAACAGAGCTCACTGAGTTCATGATATCATTCCAGAGACAAATTTTATAGTTTTCTCTGTGTTGTTGTTTTGGTGACTGAGAAGATGAGGAGTTCTCTTTACTCACAGTAGTGTGTCTGGATTTCGAACATGTGCCCCGACTCACTGGCTTTTTTTTTTTTTTAATGTTTTGTACAGGTGGATTGGCTGTAAAGGAGTAGATATAACCACTAATGTATCAAGAGAGAGTTCAGGGAATAACTGAACTAAGGAACTGTCTGAGCAGAGTGTAAACTCCTGAAAATTACTTAAATGTTTATAATTAGAATTAGATGTGCTGTCTGGAGGAAGTGGTGCTGCATTTTATCGCTGTAACCCATGCTGTGGTTTCTGTCTCTCCTGGCCAGTGACCCCCTGTACCATATCTGAATGGAGCGACTGGAGTGGCTGTGCAGAGCCCTGCAAGGCAACGTATCGAGTCCGGAGAAGGCATGTCATTCAGGAGCAGAGGAATGGAGGCGAGGCGTGTCCTCCTCTGGAGGAAAAGGCTGGCTGTGTGGAGTACTGGACCCAGCAAGGAGTGGAGTGCAATCATGCCCTTCGTAAGCACACTGAAAGTGCTGGGTTTGGGCCTGAGCCCAAATGGCTTAGACCCTGGGGTTTGGCTTCCTAAGTTTCTCCCCAGAGTTAGCTGGAGTGGAGTAATTTGCTCTGGATTTACACTGGTTTTACTGAGAACTGAATTGACCCCTTTATACTGAGTTCATTGGATTCTCATTGGGATATATTTTTTTATACTGCCTGCCCCTTGGTGTCATCTGATAGGCTTCAAAAGTGAAGTTTGGGGTCCTGGCTCTGGTTTCACTACTGTGAGCATAAATCTCCAGTAATTCTGATGCAGTCAATAAAGTCAGTGTGAAACCCATGGAAGTGGGAGGAAAGTGTGGCCTTAGGTGTCACATAGCATTGCTCATGAGTCCTCTGTAAACATCAGGAAGGAATGGCACCCACCAAAGACAAGGTCTCACTTTTCCCCTGCTCAGAGTTTCCTTCTGTTTCCAAACAATGTGCCAGATTCTGCTATAAAGCTGGAATTAAGGCATGACCTGAACTTGCCTGTATCAAATTTTTCCAATGAGTTTAAGAGCTCTTTGGGGGTCAGAATCTGGCTTTGGCTTCTATCCTAACTAATTTATTTTAAATTGGCTTTTTCAAGCCTGTTGGGAGATGGTATTAGATGAATGAGGGGGGTTTTTTTCTTCTCCTTTGGTTGCTGCTCTGATAAACAGTTTTGCTCCAATAGGGCAAAAAAAGAAGAAGAAGAATGAATGGCTCTTTCTAATGCTAGATTGCCACTGAAGATCCAAAAATGCAAGGCTGGAATTATCTTTGATTTCCTGCCAAAGTGGAAATTGTGTGACATTAAAGACCATAAAATCCCCAGTCTTTATTGTTATGCAAGCATAAGTGGCCTTAGTGCACTATTATCACTTGCTCATGTACATTGCTTTCCTTTGATGTTCGCAGTCCCAGCATTAATAACCACAGGAGGTTACGGGAAAGCACGAAGGAAGAGAGCTGCATCCAGTGAAAATGAAAGAGCAGGGTAAGTAGGAGGCTGGGCTTTGCAGCATAATGGCACCTTGTTCGTGGCTTCGATGGGTGTGTCGTGTAGGCCAGGCTCCATCCTGGATAGAGCATCTATTTCTTTTGGCAGCCTGAAGACTTTTAAAGCTGGATGCCAACAAAACAGCATCTCCATCTGATAGAGGCTTGATCTTCCACCGCAGGATATGTTCAAAGCAATGTCACTGAAGTTACTGGGAGAGAGAGCTGATGCTGTCTAGGATGGTATAAGCAGAGAGCAGTTGTTTCAGGTTCTTCTCCGTATCTGGTTCTCTCTGGGAAGTCTATACCACATCACCGTAGTACAGACTTTTGGGGGTGAGAGGCTCCCACAAACACGATGCCCACTCATACATCTGTGTTAAAGGTGCAGGCAATGGTTGGCTTTGTTTTATGCAGTTTGGGTTGGGGTCTAGCAAGTTGCTGTTTTGGGTGCCAGCTGGGCAGAACCTAGGCTTCCCTGCAGCATGGGAAGCAAGTTATTGCACCAACTGGCTTGACTGCTTCAAGCGCTTGTGAAAGATTCATCCAATACACTTGGCCATCTTGGGCTCCACCTGCATGTTTCCCTCATTGGCATCATTGCTTCCCAGTACCTGCAATGTGCATCAGAGCTCTGCAGAAAGCTCTCCTTTGCTTGTAAAATTCCATGATAGCCATACACACGTACTGATCAGTCGTCAGACCGGGGTGCCCATCATGGCCATAGGTGTGGCAAAAGTACCTCCGTTATGCTCAGTTTAGAGGGATAAAGTCAGCAGGGGAGCTAACATCAGCTTTGCCATTCTGCTTCTTGCTCCAAGAGAGGCAGCTGTTGGCAGTAATGTAGCAGGTTGCTTCCACAATGTGTGTGTATTCATCAGCTTTGTTTAAGCTTCTTGTGGGAACAAGCTTCTGCTCATGCTGAACCCCTACTGACCCCTCAGTTGTGAAGAGAACCTCTTTAGTCTTCTTCAACATTCGTATGCCACCTCTTGGGTGAACTGATGGACTCCACTGCCAACAAGATGCAGACAGCTCTACCAGAAAAATCATACTCCCAAGGTAGCCCAGTGCTTGGACGTAATCACCTGTGAATGAAGAACAGCTGTCTGTAGCCACACTGGAGTAGGACAGGGGTAATGCTAGAGGAAAGCATTGTGAAGGATGTGAAGTTGTGGTGCAGCCTCCTTTAGCTGATGGCACGCTCCCTGAATTGGTGACTTTCGTGTGTATGGTAGTTCTCTTCCACTTCTGACACTGAACACCGCATAGCAGCATTCATGGCAGTACCTTTTATTGCCTCTGGCTGGCTAGGAGAGTCCATCCCATCTTGGTGGCTGGTGGACCTGACTTCTGTTGTCTGTGCCCTTGTCACATCTTGGCTGACTACAGCTATGTGATATAACTGCTTGAGAAAGCTCTAGCACACAGGAAGCTAAAGAATACAGAATGGTACAGTGCATCTTCTCAGAAATACAGGCCACCATAAGCATGTCAGACCTGTCCTTTACCCTCTGCGGTGGCTTCTGATAGAATTTCATCCCATTCTCATTTTCAAGGCACTCGGTGGTCTGAGCCCAGGCCACCTAAAGTACGGAGGTGAAGAACTCCAGCAGAGTGCAACTCCCAGAACCAGAAGTTTATAACGGATGTGAAGAGGCCTTTAATTTAACCATATTCCTAAGCTTTCCCAGACAAATGCCTACCGACCTCTTCTTGAAACCTCTAATGGAGGAGACTGCGATTCTGTAAAAATGGATAAAGCTTATCTTTGTGGAAGACTTTCTTGGGGGCTAGTATGAGATTGCAGAATGAACTTCCACAGTAGTTAAGGGATAAACCTACCTGTCTTCTGTATCCAAGGTGCATTTCTTTGATTTTTACCTTCTCTCCATAAATATCTAGGAACATGTGCATATAGCAACCTCCTTCCCTCCCAAGAAGCTGTATTGTGCATGTTTTTATCCCTCTGAGAAAACCGTGTGAAAACAAACAACACTTGACACGTTAGTCATTTTGCTTAATGTATTAGTGGAAGGTACTCAAGACACTGTAGTGATGAACAAGTTACATGAATCCAGATGTAGTAGAACCCAGCTCTTTACTGCCTCTGGTTTTCCAGACTCCAAAATAGCGAGACTGGTTTTCTTAACTGAGATTTGGTTAAAAACAGGAACATAGCCCGATTTGAGCATGGCACAAGTATAGTGCTAATTTTCTCAGTGGTAATCTCATAATCTTTCCCAAGAACCAGGCAGCTTAATCCCGATTTCTAGCAGGAACAATACTGTTGGAAAGCTTCCAATAACTAAGTTTTAGTTACTGTTAAATTACTGTAAGACTTAGTGTCTGATGAAGTATTGAAACTAAATACTGGGCAGTCTAGTCCAGTAACTAGGGCCCCACACTGGGTTCTGTTCCTGGAACCGCCACTTACTTGATCTCAGGCATTGGCCAAGGACTTAATCTCTCCCTGCCTTAGTTGCAGTGATAGCCTTTGCTTTGATGTGAAAACACCTAAATTTAGGTCTGAGTGTTACTGCTCATTTCAGTTTGTCAGAATGGATTCATACAGGATCTGTGTGTCTGTGTTAACTTACTTGTATTCACCACATCTGCTCTAGCTCTCTCAGTGGCTCTCAGATCTGTAACATAATTGTTGGTCTAACTGGGGCTCTCGTTTTTGCTGTAGGTATTGTGTTGAATTCCAGCTTGCAGGCATCACGGAAAGTTGTTTGCATGGGAACAGTTCCTACACTCGCTGGATGCAATATCTCAGTGAAGGGCACGTAGTGTGTGTGGAGTGCCAGCACCCGGCCTTAGACTCCAGGAGTCTGCACTGCTATGGTGATGGCAGTGGAAGCAAAAAGTAAGAGTTTTGAATTCTGCCTTGTTCTTTGTAGGTACCACACATGGATTTTTGCATTTCCCCACCTTGATCTAGTTGGAGAGACTTGTTTCAGTTTTGTCATCCACTGCACTTGTCAGCGCTTTACATCTTCTGAGCCCTGTTTAAACGTTAACTCATCCTTTCTGCTCACTGTGGTTTAGATCAGTAATGATCACTCTTAGAATGAGATCTGGAATTAATTGTCCTGGCTGTGCTCACCTGATAAATTAGTGGCAGAGCCAGGTCTAGTATTTTTGCATGGGATCTGTCTATTCCATGTTCTTCATACTGCCAGGGCATCTGCTGTGGAGCATGCTTTGTCCACTGGATCCTGCTTGCATGAGCCAGACCTGTAAATGTGAGAGTGAAACTACTGTGGGGCACCTTCCATGGGTGCTTACAGCCAGGCTGGAGAGCAGGGTCTCAAGAGTAGTTATGGAGAGAGCCTTGGAGCAGCTTCCCACCATACTCCTGTGTTTGGTGGGTGGGCAGGGCATGTTTGAGGGCGGTGCTGGGGATGTGGTGCAGACGTACCCTACTGCCTTGAATTTGAGTCTTACAGGCTGCTATTTGACTAAGGCTAAGCATCCTCGTAGAGGACAAATAAAGCTGAATCCATTTGCAGGTTGTTGCCAATCTGAAGAACAGTGTATGTTATTGAGTATCTCTCATTCAGAGACCTGCATTTTGTTTCCTAAAGTGACTCTGAATGTATGCTCCTCCCTAACCCTAACTGTTAGTCGGGTAAATCTTGGCATTGGGAATGGGTAGCCAATGCAAGTGGAAAAGTGCCCTTTCTTCACTTAGAGCACCTTTCACCCAGGACTCTCAAGTTGTTCTTGGTAGGCAGGGGTGCCTGTAGAGGAACTTGGAGGCTGCTCTGATGCACTGTAATTACAGCACGTCGGAGCAGACTCAATTAACTAAGTTTGCTGGAGCATGGTAATGACTGTGCTCCAGCCAGCCTCTATGTCTTGTGTTTCAGCATCCCTGCGCTTCAAAATGGCAGCAGGGACACTTGTATCTAAATCTCGTTGAAGCTTTAGATAAAGTGCCCATGCCACCATTTTGAAGCATGAGGATGTTGATCTGTGAGATGCTTCGGGAGCTTTAATTAGAGTGGCTCTTGGAGCTGCTGTAATTAAAGCGCCCTCTTGCTCCCGGAGCATGTGTAAAAATGTCTGAGGTGAGCATTACCCACGCTCTACAGGTGGATAAACTCAGGCAAAGAGAGGGGAAAGGACTCATTACTCAGCAACAGAACCCGGGAATTCTGACTCTGAGTCTCCTGCTGTAGCCACTAGGCAACTCTGCCTTTTAATCGCAATTCCCCTTCAGAATCATATTTCTGTATCGCATATAATTCTAGTTTGTTTTAATTTAATAAAAGCACTCTCTAGAATTTCAGGGCTGGACTGCTCTGGAAATGTCTGTGTGGCAATATACTGGGGTATGTTAGAGTTTGAGATAAATAGGTCTGTTTTGAAATACTTACCATAAACTAGGATTATTAGGCCTTAAACATGCTATATATTAAACATGAATTTCTGCTGGTAATAGCCTTTTTTAGGAAGGATCTGTCCAGAGCTTTTAACATGAAAAAGTTATGTGAGATGCTTTTCCTTCTGCCTCACCCCTGCTTTTTAAGTGTAAATATCGCATAGATCTTTAGATAAAGAGCAATAAACCCAACTGGTGCTGTCAGGAGAGGCTTTAAACTGCAGTAAAAATGTAAATGAATGTCAAGGCTGGAAATAATATTATTTTGTCAGAAACCCTGAAGCCAGATAAGAACATCTGATTAGGTAAAAGCAAACGAGAAAAAAGACCAAAGCCAGCAAACACTTTGGAGTACTGAGTAGGAAAAGTGAGGTTATACAGCAGGGGTAGGCAAAATACGGCCCGCAGACTGGATCTGGCTCATTGGGCCCATGGGCACCCATCAACTAATTGTATCCTGCCCAGCCCTTGCACCTCACTCCCACCCTTCTGGGTGGAAGGGCCTGGCACAGCCAGCGTGCAGCTTCTGGGAGAGGCTGCTGCTGCCACTGGGGAACCTGCTCCGCTTCCCTGGCGTCCCACTTGCTCTGGGCACGAGGTAGGGAAGTGACGGGGGCAGGGGTGGAGCTGCAGCTGGGTGGGAGTGTGGGGCTGGCGGCAGCATGGAGCCCATGCCCAGGGGAGTGGTGGGAGTGCAGAGCTTGGGTGGGCAGCGTGTCGATGTGAGGGAGGGTGAGAGGTGTGGATTTTGTGGGGTGGGATTAAAGCAGGTAAACTGAAACCCTTGAGTGATTAGAGCAGGGGTGGGCAATTATTTTGGCCGGTGGGCTGCTTAATGAGTTTTGGTGAGCTGTTGAGGGCCACAAGGGTAGCCCTTGACAGCCCCACCCCCTGGTCACCACCTTGGGACTGGAAGTCGTACCCCTAACCCCTGATCTTTGCTACTGGAAGTCCCTCCCCTTGTGCTCCCTCCTCCTGAAAGTACGCCGGTGGGGTTCCCCTCCACTTCTGGCAGAGTCCTGGGACCTGCACAGCATGGGGCAGCAAAGGCAGCCAGCTCCATCGTGCAGGGCTTCCCCCGTTGGCACGAGTGCCAGGAGCTGCATGTGCACCATGGGGAGCCCCACACAATAGAGGTGGGCCAGTCTGGCTGTGCTCCTGGCCACCATGTGCAGTGCTGGCCAGAGCTGGGTGCCACAGGGCAGCAGCACTTGTGCAGGCCATGGGCACCCCAAGCACCCACTGCGTGCTGCTGCTGCTGCTGGGGGCTGTGCGACTTGGGGGTCCCCACCCTCTCTCACACCCACACTCTGCCCACCTGAGCTTCATGTTCCTGTCTCACCCCAGGTGCAGGCTCCATGCTGCTGCCAACCCCAGCCCCATGCTCCCGCCCAGCTCCAGCTGCCTCCTGCCTTTGCCCTTGCCCCCCTTCCCACTGCTTCTCTACCTGGTGCCTGGAGCAAGCAGGATGCTGGGGAAACCAAGCAGGTCCCCCAGCAGCTGCAGCAATGGCAACAACAGCCCTGCCTGGAAGCTGCATGCTGGCTGGGCTGGGCCCATCTGCCCATGAAGATGGGAGCGAGGCACGTGGGCTGGGCAGGGTACAATTAGCTGGTGGGAACCTGCAGGCAGGATGAAATTGCCTGGCAGGTTGGATCCAGTCCATGAGCCTTATTCGGTCTGCCCCAGATTAGAGCAATCACGTTATTCCTGCTCATTGCCTTTCTTTGCTCCCCACTGCCTCAGCGTTTTCATTTTCAGTTATGATCCTCCCTGCTGTTCTTATTCTGGCTTTTGAAAGCTAGGAGTTTTCAACAGGTTTTGGAAGAAGATCAGACTTGAGAAGAAGAGATTTGGGGAAGTTGATTTTTTTTTTTTCCTTTTTGCTTTGTTCATTTCAGTTTGAACTGTGACCATCCCTTTTTGAGAAACAGTGGGGCATGAATCTCTGTGATATAGTGCAAAGTATTTTGTGCTTTACACCAGATTACAGCTGGCTCTCCATTAAGCCACCAAGAAGTGTTCTGCAAGTTGTGGGGCTGGTTTTTATTGATTGCTCTAATTTCTGTCCTCTGTGCAGTCCGAGCATTTTGTTGATGGAGCTGAGCAACATTTGGAGCGTCTGTCATGACCATGTCTTGTGTACTGCATTGCTGCATGACACACTTTTTAAATTTCCAAACATAGGCTTTTCAGGACTGGCCAAATGGGTTGGAGGAAAGAAAAGTATGGAGAGCTGCTGTCTGTGCCCTTGAGAAGGTTGGGAGAAAGATGTAGGTTAGGGAGCATTCACCCTCTGAAAGACTAGCTAGACTTATGTTGGGGTATGAACAATCAATCAAATTTAAAATGTGTTAACAGGGCTCAGTTTCATACTGTGAACAGCTGTTCCATGTAATGATTCATCTGCCTGCAATTACCCTGTGGTAAATGAAAGCTAAACCAGGGCAACTTTTGCCTTTTTTGTTCAGGGCTAAGCTGCTCCAGTTTAGCTTTCACTTACCACAGGGTAATTGCAGCCAGATGGGCCGTTTTGAGTGTCAGCTGCTCTGTGGTGATTCCTTGCTGCTTGCTCCCTTCCATCTTCCTATCATTTGATCATTTTTCCATACCCTCAAGTAGCATTTGCAAACTAGGGGGTATGACCCCCAGTGGGCTTGTGGCAGTTCTGAGTGGATTTTTGTGCTCCTGAGCCCGTACAGCCCCAGGGTACTTGGAAATACAGTATCCCAACCTGGCTGTTCTGTGTTAAGTGTCTGTATCCACTCTCGTCTGATGGTGGAAATTGGGGCAGGTCACTCCTGAATGAAAAGGGGCCCAATTGCCCCAATTGTTTTGGCTGGGAGCACACACATGAACAGTTACCAAAAAGTAGCTGAGGTGCAGAAGGTCCTGCCCCTGCTGAGTGCAAGCACACAAACTGTCTGTGTGCCTGTGCTTATCCCAGGGTAGGCAAAAACTAAACTGAAGTCATTTAGCCCTGTTTTATTCAGTGGCAAACTGCCCTGATTTAGCTTTCACTATGGGTAAAGCCAGGCATCAGTACAATTATTGAGGATCAGCTAAGGCACATGGAAGTCCTACCCATGCTAACTGCTAGCATATGAGCAGCAGTAACTGTTTGGAGAGGCACAGAATTATCTGACTAGGCTGGGGTTGTGACCAGAGGAATTGTGTAAATCTAGGGCCAAGCAATTTGGGAAACATTGAGGGCAGGATCTGCCAACCATAAGTGGAAGTGTTCTTCTGAAAACAAATGGAATACCTGTGAAGGGCACTTGGAAAAGAGTGGGTGGTAACTGTTGCCTTGGTAAAGGGGACAACAGGAAGAACATGTTGGTAGAGGGGGAGATCTAGTTCTGTAGTACATGAGTGCTTGCCAGATTTGCTTGTCCTAATGATACACCAATCCCCACCCTTTTGCCCAGTGCTTGAAGTGCTCACCTATGTACCTCACCCAGGTAGGTTGATGCTTTGATAGCTTTGTTGTCAGCCTCACACAAATGATTATACAGACATCCCAACACCCCCAAAGGGAGGTCAGTCCAGCTCCTGGCTGCAATGCTGTGATGGAGCAGAAAGGGGGAAGCATGCACAGCTGTTGCCTCTGTCACACCCACTCCATCTTGGCATGTTGGTGCGCCCAGGCTGTCGGTTTGGTAGCTTGCATCAGCACGCAACTCCCAGAGTTATTGTTCCAAAAGTGCCGATCAGGAAGAGAAAAATCAGAGCAAGTTTAAAATATACAAAGATCAGAGAGAGTTTAAAATACACTCAGCAGCACTGAGTATATTCTGAGGAGGATTTCTCCTAACGATCTTTTTGCATGTCAGCCTTGTATGGTATAATTCAAGGCTCTGTCAAGCAGGCCTTCAAATAGCTAGTGTCAACTAAAAGAAGATTCTTGAAGGCTTCATAGGCATAGCCATTGGATGGTGAGGGCCCCCTCAGTGCTTGATCTGCAGAGGACACTCTTCTTTACAGCCCTGCTTATAAAGAAAGCTCAGGCTATTGCAGCTTGTGATTTTTACTTTGGATGGCTGCAGACCAGCTCTTGCGGTGTTGGTCAACATAATGACCATCACAGAAGTGGGGACAGCTCCACAGGACTTCATGGCCTCCATATTTTCAGAAGGGGAAGAGGTACGAGACCCAAAGTGGTGAGGCTAGAAGAAAGGTTTTTGGGGGTTTTTTTTGGAACACACAGCACCAGTAACACGCAGTGATGCCAGTGATCAGCCAGCACTAAGAGCTTCTACAGGGAACTGTGCCTGGGAGGATTAGCTGTTCTTTATTGTCTTGAGCAAGATGCGGCAGTTACAGTGCAGAAACAACTTCATTCTGTACATTTATGTCCCTGCATATGGGGGGAAGGGTGTTTCTTTAAATATAGCAATGGCAGTGTTTGCAATTCCCATCAGCAGGACCAAAAATGGCAAATATACTTTGTGTTTAAGGACTCAAGCCTTTTAAAGGTAAAGTTATGACTCTGGGGTTGGAGAAGCACCATGCGGCATGTGGCAGCCTGCTTTATCCAGGATCTTGCTTGTTCCTTTCCAAAACCTTGTGGCTTAAAATGACCCTGAGCCAGAAGAGACAACATTTAGCTTTTTCCCAACCAGTGTGATTTTAAAGCTCTGCCCTGGAATGTGACATCTCATTAAATCAACAGCAACGTTATCTTTGAATAATTGGCATTGATAATTCTGGCTTGTAGAGCACTATAAATCAAGCAGGGGCAATGGACTTACCATCAGGCTACTTTGCTGGAAGCTCTCGACAAGGCCTGAATGAGCCCTGGAGCTTGCCCTTCCGCAGTAGGGAAGAACTGAGATGCATTGAGGGCAATGAGTATAATGGGAGCAGAAGCTTGTGCTCCTGCTGTCTGTATTATATTTTTTCTGTGGCTAAATTTTGGGTCCAGCGGCTGCTAGGCCAGCATCTTTTTGGTTGACGTTAAATGTACATACTGTATATTACTTCTGTTAATAGACCACCTCTCTTGTCAGTGCAGGACAAATGTGTTCATGAACTTTTGGGGAATTTGTTGAACCTGGGATCAACTAGGTTAGAAAAATATGGTGAATTTTCCTGCTCTTGTGTGTCTTTGTTTTATAGATACATCCCAACTGCATGCCTTTGTATTGCCTAGCACGTGCTTGTTCAGTGTCCGGAATACCCGGTGATGACGATGGGAGCTCTGCGCATGGAGAAAGTGCATAGTTCAGTAGAGACTGACCAAGTGGGTTGAAAAGAGAAATGTTGTTTACATTTTCAGTACATCAGATGTTTCTGCAGTAATTTTGATTACTTTTGATCAAATTTTGATCTCTCTCTGTACCATCCTCCTGGGGTCAGTGGAGTCACTCAGCATGAGATCAAAATTGGTGTGTTGAAACTGATGTCAGACGGAAAAAATTCAGGATTTTCCAAATGTTTTGGACCCTGTTGGTGATGTGATTGACTGAAGCAGCCAGCTCCTTGCATGGTGCCCTTGCTTGAATCCCCAACAGTGATGGTGCAGTACATGTTCAGCTGTTGTCTTGGAAGGCATTAACCTCTCTCCCTCCTTTTCTGCTCTTTTTGTTTCAGGAACGAGGTGCTGCACTGGCAGGCTGTAGGGAATCCTCGGTGCAGAGGAACTTGGAAGAGAATTCGCCAGCTGGACACTTGTTCCTGTCCTTCTGTTCATAGCTTCTTGTTCATTTAACTCTTTCGAATTAGCCCAGTGCTCGAGTCATGTGCTGGCTTCTCTGGCACACACTTTTAAGTAATGACCATAATTGATCTGGTGATTAATCAGTGTTGAAGACTGGGCTGAACTGCTTTAAGGAGGTTGACACCTGCAGAGGGTTAAGCTAAGTCCTCCTTCATACACTTCTGTGCTTTTGCATCCCTGAAGAAGGCAGAGAGAAACTGCAGTCTGTCTCCACACCTCCCTCCCTGCTGCCTCAGCAGTCTTTCTGTCCAGTCTGACACCTTTTCTTTCAAAGCCTTCCTCCCCCAGACCTGCCAGTGATGATCCACCAAGGAAGAGAATTTACAAATGATTAAGATAAGCACAGATTAAGTACCCAACAAAAGACTAAAGGAATCTCTTGAAACCGGTTCCTCCTTTTGGTGATAGTGCTCTTCCCTTGAGGACATTTCTTCCTTCCTTTTATTTATAGATCTTTCCCCCTTTTATTCTCAAGCTGGTCTCTGTACTGGGTTCTTAGTCTAATGTAGGGTCTCACTGAAACCTGTGACAAAGCTCCCATTGCCTTCAACAATCGGCCCAAAAGGCTTGATCCTGAATGGTGGTGGGGGTTGCTGGACCCTGATTCCATCAAGGTAATGGTAACAGTTAGGATCAGGGCTGTTGAACCAGTGAGAATTGATGATCCTCTGAAGAACAGAGTCCTTAGACCTCAAGTTGCAAGGACCATAGGCTGTGTTATCTTATTTGGAAGTGCCTTATTTCTTGTGGTTCAGTCATCTCCTGTGCAGTAGTGAGGTACTAAAACTCTCACTACTTTTCTCTTGCTTCTGACAACTATTTGAAATAGTTTTCATTACAATCTCTTGGGTTTCTGTTTTGAAAATGTTCTATAAATTATAATAAAAGAGACTTTAGAGACATTCTAATGGCATTTTATTAATTTTCTCTTTTCAGCAGCTGGTCCTAAAGAATTCATCCTAACTGATCTTGCTGTGAGGTTGAGTGAGGGTAGATCACTCACCAAGTCTATTTCCAAACTATTCAGTTTTAAAAAGCATCCTAAGCACCTGTCATGAATGGTGCCCAAAAGCAGATGTGAGCTTTGGCCACGCAGCCATTTTAAATCCAAAGGGCACCTGAACGTTGCAACACCAAGCATCGCAACATCCAGTGTTTAGGGAGCTGCCTCCCTGCAGGCCCAGCAGAGCACTAGGAAGTGATAGGATTTATGATGCACCCTTGCGGTGAGCATTTCCCACTGGTTCTACTCATTGTACTGCCTGTTGTGATTCCTATTCTTAGTAGCTGACTGTCCTCATGCGTGGTGTAGGGATCTTAGGGTGCCTGGACATCAGTGCGGAGGCTGGTCTGATGCACGAATGCTGTGGTGCTTTAATTAGAGCAGCCCTTGGAGCTTTTCTGATTAAATTGCTGTCTTCCTCTCTGCCCCACAACCCCCAGAGCATGTGTAAAAGTGCCCTTAGAGCCTAGGTAAGGGGCCAATTTATTAAACATCTTCTTGGATCTAGTCCTTTACTACCCTGTGCAAAGCATAGGGAGAATTCAGTGATTAAGAACAGTGTTCACAACACCCAGCGCACTAAGTAGAGAACTGCCTAAAGTAGCCAACAAGCAGTGTTGGAGAGAGGTGTGTTGCTCATTTAATACAAAATATTTAAATAGTCATTGGAGCAAGGACTGGAAGCCAAGTCAGGGCATCCCCACCCAGGTGAGTGCCCTAACTAGTACGCAAGAGAAGGATGCTCTCTTTGGCCCAAGACATATTCAGTTATTAAAGTGGAGTGCTTTCAGCAGGAGGAACTGAGCACAACCTGCTTGGAAATGCTTGAGAGTTTAGGACTTAGTGCACAGTCCTGAATGGTAACAGCTAGGGTTCAAATCCCTGTGGGCCCTGGGAGTGCTCTCCCCACAGTGCTATGGGACAGGAGAGGTTGTCCGTCTTGGATGGTCAATACATCTATAAGAACAGCCCTCACAGGTGGAGGTGGGCAATGTCCTAGTTTGGCCATCCTCATGGGGCTTGGGGGAACTGCTTGGAGCCTATCAGGACTTTTGTGGCCATGTGTAGCACTAGAAAGGTAGGTACCTAAGAGTATGTCTATGCTTCTCCCTCATTGTTTGTGGGGATGGATGCTCTTGCCCTCTGCTCCTGTTCAAACAGGCCAAGGCTGGAAATGCAGTGGTGAAGCTTTTCCAGGGTCATTTCTCATGGCCACTGTCAAGCACGCCCAAGACAGAGGTCTCAAGGGCAGCTGCAGCAGGGAGGTTTTTCTGAGGGCTTCACTGCTGCATTTTGAGGCATGGTCCATATGGTTGGGTTAAATGTGCTTGGGAGCATCCCTGTCAGAGAACGCTGCAGAAGCAGCGTAGAAATTGCCAAAGGGAAGTGCAAACAATAGAGTAAATGTTGTGGGGGGAGGCAGAGGAGGGACTGTGACAGTTCCACCAGCACCTAAAATAATGGACTGAAATACCCAGCACCTAATTCCCATTTGGGTGTCTAGTCTTAAATGTAACTTTAAAGAAAAAGGTGCTAAGTTTTCTAGATTGGCCTTGATAGCATTGCTCGTTAGGACACCTGGTGTCACCTGTACGTGCTAAGGTCCATTTTATACACCCTGGTGCCACACTATACAGCAGAGCTGTTCAGGGTGAAGGAGTGCCTATAGTCGCAACAGTCTGAGATGCGTTTGTAGCTTCCTTCCATTCTCACAGTAAATGGTAACATAAAGTGATCCTTGGGGCAGTTAAATTATCTGCCGTTCTTGTGTTGTGAAAGTCACAGTGCTGCTCCACTCATTTCTGAGATCTCTGGCTGTCTTCACTTCTCTGACTGAGCGAGGTGTGTATTTACATCACGTGAGCCAAATGAGATTTGTGTTCTTGGTGGACAACCCTAGTGGAGATGGGGCACAGGGGTTTTTCCCCTCAATGTCAACCTTATATTTTCCGCCTGTGGCTTACGTCAAGGACCTACGAGGAGGTAAAAATTGTCACTACTCAAGTGAGCAACCTACGTGCACACTTACGTTTCCAGGGAAGTTGTTCACATTCATCATGTTTCTGAAACTAGTGCCGTCCCTTGTGTTCATGGCCAACTGGCTCCCAGGACTCCTGTTTAGATTCATACAGACTGGGCGAGCAAGCAAGTTTTCCCAAGCCTTCCTTAGGTACTTCCTCTGCTTAACTTCTTTGCTCAGCTGACATGATGGCAAGGCACAGAGAGCACTTGGGCTCTGAGAGGGATTTGAGAGCAGGGCTCTACTTTTTATTGTGTATTATCTCACGGTAGCAAGGGGGGGAAATAGCTTGTGCTTTGCTGTCTGATGTAATCTGGAACTAACTTGCCTTTGTGGTCTGCTCAAGAATGCGATCCTGAATGACTTATGAATAGATAAACCGAATGCAGTGCGTGTGGTTTTTACAGTGAGGCATTTCTATCAAGCCAGAAGCAAGTTTCTCTGTAGGGATATGAGATCACGGAAACATTTAGTCATGGGAAGATGTTATTTACACCTAGAGAGGCCTCATCCTGGACTAAGTGCAAGTCCAAAGGGAGTTCTGCCATTAACATCAGGAACAGGAAGCTAAAGCCAATAATGAGAAGCACTTTTCACTTATAAATGATCAGAGCCAATCCTATAAGAAACTAAATTTCCAGTTTTACCAGGTGGTGGGAGCCCTCAGGTCTACTTGACTCTAGTGTGTGCAGAACTAGACTTACAGTTCATACATATTTGGGGCTTTTAATAAACTTCCTTTAAAAAAAAAAAAAGTCTTTCAATGCTGCCCTCTGTATAATCTCCATGCCAACCAGGGGTATCGGTATATCTGTTGCAAACATTAGATCATGGTGCCATTTAGAAAACCTTAATTATAATTAATGACATGATGTGGCAGCTTAATAGCAACTTGATTCCATTTGCCAATTGCCTATACATTAACTGTACTAGGCTGGTGCATTAGTATACACATTAAACAGGTTGTCCCAGTACCCCCTGATGAGTATTCATTACTCTGATGAATAGGCTTTGTTGGCTTTGTTGCATTGTTTTCAGGATCTGCGATTGCCATGTGCCACAGGTAGGAAGTAATTATATTTGGGAGATGGCAAATATTAAAAATGAGAGAGAGAGAGAGACGTGGGTGCAGTGAGTAGGAAAGGCTAATAGAAGTGTCAGGCCAACTTCCCCATCAATGAAAACTATCTTAAGGTATAAATGAATACCTGCTCCTGGCTTCTGTCCCCAGGGGCTTGGTCATCCTTCCCCCTTATCAATCTCCATAATGGCTTAGGGCTTGGATTGAAGAGAAGACAAAGCTATTGGAAAGCCCATGCTAACTACTGTTGAAAAACGGCTTCCCCCTACAAGCCAGCCTCGCATCAAGAACAGGCTGTTTATTAGAGATGACAGTCGTTTCCATGACAACCCGGCGAGTCTTTCACCACTCGATATCAACAAGAGAACGGCTCCCACCGTGAGTGTATAAAGCCACGAGTCTTAGGCCAATAACTCACAAAACATCCCGTGGGCAGCAGCAGTCAGGACCTGTCCCTGGTTTACCCTTTGCAGCCACGGGCTGGGCTTTTGGTACAAAGAAAAGCCAGTAAATAAAAACCACAAGTATTCAGATTCTTTATGTGTAAGTTGAATAAGTAATCCCTAACACCTAGGGAGTTTGATAGCCCTGCCCTTCCCTCATATTCCCCCTTTTCCTCTGCTTTTCCCTGTTCCCATCTCCACGTTTCGGAGGGCTGTGGGGCGTGGGCGAGGGGGACGTGCTCCGTTTGAAACATACATTTGAACCGCCCTCCAGAAAACTTCAACTTTTCATCCAAAAATGGAAAGCTGAAAGTTTTCTCATTTTGAGCAACTGAAACCTGACAATTTAAGGCCAACGCTAGTTTTTAAAAATTGTTGTTATTTTTAAAACTAAAAATAAAGGCTCCTGACTTTTTTCATTTGAGTGGAAATTTTGGATCTTTAATTGTTGGATTTAATTTTCCCTCCTGCGTCCGTCCTATCAGTTTGGTGGCGAACCCTGTGACGGTTGCTCTTGTGAATCTTCTGAGCTATCCGAGTGACCCAGCATTGGAAATGTTAAAGCACAGCACACAGCTCTGAGTATTGTTGTTAAGCTCTTAGATCCCTGCTGTGTATGACTTGCTGTGGAATTGCAAACAGAGGATTATAACTTAAGGTAAGAAGTAAGCATCCAGAACAGAGGAGATTCCTAGCCAGCAAAGATGATCTTGCCTGTAAATATACAGCTCTTACAATTTAAAGGGGAAAAAAAAATCACAAGGGAAAATTAACTCCTTCACCTTCACTTATACAGAGATTTTGTTCTAAATGGAATTCAGAGTTTTCTGGCACCAACTCTTTAAAAACTCTATGAAAAACCAGGATATGCAGTGGCTTTAAGTTGCTAATCCAAGTGGGTAAGGATAACTTTTGTCCGGCTGTATCTGCACACGTCTCTCAGTGACATCAGTGGGAGGCATCTGCATATTTAGGGAAGGATTTGCATAGCTGCTTGTCACAAGTATTTCCTATGTTAAATATATACAGGAGACTCAGGAAACTGGAAGTGTGATGCTTCCTATATCTATGCATATTATTACTAGTCCCAGTATTATGCAACTGCTCTCTGAAATACAGCCTCAGTATTTGACTGATGAGTTCCTGAAGCAGTGAATTCCACAGGTCAGTTATGGTTTAGTTGAAGTAGTACGGATTAGATATTGTAACTTTACCATCCTTTATGCCACTGAATGTGCACTTTAGTCTACAGATTCAAAAAGCTATTTCCACAATGAGGACTTACTCCTGCGGAGGTCCAAATCACTCTTCCCATGCACTGGGCTTTGCTATTAGTTTATGTACCGAATACTTGTTTACTT